ATCCATCCATCCATCCATCCATCTATCATCCCTCCATCCATCCATCCATCCATCCATCATCCATCCATCATCCATCCATCCATCCATCCATCCATCCATACATCCATCCATATTCCATCCATCCCTCCATCCATCCATCATCCATCCATCCATCCATCCCTCCATCCCTCCATCCATCATCCATCCATCCCTCCATGCACCACCCCACCCATCCCAGTGTCCCCTCCCTGGCCCTGTCCCAGGCTTTGGGCACGCCAGGGGTGACAGCCAGCCTGCAGTCCCTGTCCCCCAGGAGCAGCCAGGCTCAATGAGCCCATTTGGAAACGGAAGGAGGAGATTGGCAAGGATTATGCTGAGAAAACAAGGCAGCAGTATTTCTTCTCTGCCCAGTAAAAGGAATAAAGGCATTTCTTAAAACCATTCCACTTTTTAAAAGAAATTCCATTTCTTGAAGCCATTTTCTGCTGCAGTGTCTGGGCACATCCCTGCTCTGTGGAATCTCAGTGCTGCAGTGGGATGAGCCTGGACAGCCTCTCTCAGCCCAAAAAGCTCCACCAAAAAAACCCTTTAGTGGAGCCAGGCTGTGATCCCTGCTGGACCTCAGCCCTCCCCAGCCCCCCTGGCACCCTCCACAAAAATCCCTTGGCTGGTGCTGGTCCTGCCTTCCACTGGCCAAGACTGAGGAGGGGAGAGGTGCCTGGACCAGCCACCCACAAACAGCAGGAAAAACCAATCTGCTGCTTTGTAGTTTTTTGCATTTTGTTTGGTTTTTTTTTTTCCCCTTCCATCAGATAAAAGAAAAATAGCTTTCTAGCTTTTTTTTCCCCCTGTGGTTTCTGTGTTGTTTTTTTTCCTCTGCTAAACTGTGTATTTTTCAGCTCAGTAAAGCATTTATTAGGAATCTTTACAGGCAGGGCTGCTGGTGAATTATATATTGTACAGCTTCGGCGTGAGCTGGGGGAAAAAAAAACTTCTGACATTTTTTCCACCCAGACTGATTCTATCCAATAGCAATGGAAAATGAGGGTTTACCAGGAAAGCTTTAAGTTCAGCTCTGCTTGCCAGAGCTGCAGATACCTTTTGTGCCTTGGTCCATGTGCATTTCTAGAATGTAAATTTTCCTTCCTAACTCACAAGCGAAGCTAAAGCTGAGCTCTGCCGCAAAGTGTCCAACAGCCACGGCTTGACTCTTTTCACTTTGAATGGATTCCTCACTCGGGCATCAATTGTTTTGCAGATCATCCTCAATTCAATGCACAAATACCAGCCCCGGCTGCACATTGTGAAGGCAGACGAGAACAACGCCTTTGGCTCCAAGAACACGGCGTTCTGCACCCACGTCTTCCCCGAGACCTCCTTCATCTCTGTCACCTCCTACCAGAACCACAAGGTAGGCTGGCAGCTGTTGGGTTACAATGCTTTATTTCTGACCAGGAACTTTGTGAGAGGATCTTCCTGTTCTGCTGGTTTAAAGGACAAGTTTCCATGCTGGCTTTGAGCAGGGGGGATGAGCCAGGGAGCAGCTCTGGAGGAGCAGGGATGATGCTGGTAAGGATATTTTTGCTGGTTACAATATTTTGGCTGGTTACAGTATTTTGGCTGGTTACAATATTTTGGCTGGTTACAATATTTTGGCTGGTTACAATATTTTTGCTGGTTACAGTATTTTGGCTCCCCTGACTCGCTGTGCTCCCAGAGCTGAGATGTCACTCAAACAGCAAAGCCCATGGAATAATGACCAGCAAAGCTTGCCCATAAATCTGCAGTGAGCAGTAATTACAGAATGTGTGTTTAGCGAGACAGATGAGGAATGTAACCATAAAAACGGAACTCGGAGCTGCCTCTGTGGTTGGCACGTGGGGGCAGGGGGGGCTGGGGAATTTGGGGTACAAAGGGGCAGTTCTGTGCTCTGGTGGGTGTCAGGGGCACCTGTGTGCTGTGAGGGTGGTGTCACCTGTGCAGGGCTGGATCCCAGCAGGGCTGACAGCGGTGGGACAGTAAATTGTCACCTCCCTGTGTCACCTCCCTGTGTCACCTCCCTGTGTCACCTCGGCAGGGCATGGAAAGGCTTCAGATTCTACCCTGCTACTGCTCTGCCTCTGCACAAGCTCCAGCTCCAGGGCATTTTCCTAATGGTAAAGTCCAGCTGCTGTATGAGGAATAATTAATAATTTAATTGGAATTTTTAAAGGGCAGCAAGATTCATAACTAAAGGTGCAGAGTGAGGCAGCACTGCCAGAGCCCTCCTGTCACCCTGAGTGTGAAATCTGCCATGTGTAACTGCTCCAGTTCCTTTCCTACACATTCATAGGAAAATGCTGCAGGAACAGGAACAAGTGTGAAATTCTTCCTCCCCAATAACCTGACCAGAGCTTTTCCTCCCAAGCAGGATGCCTGTGTGCCCTTTGATGCTGCAAGCACAGAGTCCTTGCAGAAATGCTGCAATTAGTGAGGCAGTAAAGAGAGCAGAAGCATGGATGTGGTATGGTCAGGCAGGCTGGGGGAAAGTGCCCATTAGGACACTGAAGGCAGAAAAGTTGTAGCTGTTGATGTAAAATGACCAATTGCCCAAACATGGTTAACCAAAAGGACTCAAAAGAGCTTACATTTAATACATAATTAAAATGTCTGGTGTCAATGGTGCCTTTCACCCCTAGAGCTCCCAGAGTGCTCCATAAACTCCACACTTGCACTGTCACTGCTGTCCAGCCCCAGATTTAGGGAAAATGTCCCAGATGGGTCCAAATTCCTCAGTGAAGATCCTTGAGGATCCTCAGGGGTCTGCAGGCTGGGGGGATGGACACTGCCCTGAGCAGGGACACAGGGACCTGCAGAAGGGGACACCAGGACCTCAGTGGGGTCTGGAGAAAATCTCAGCCTCAGAGCAATACCTGAATGGTTTTATTTATGCTCTTAAGCATCAACAATTAAAAACCTGGTCTGGGTTTCTTTTAGAAGAAACAAACTGCTGAGCTATATTTAGCTCAGAACTCTCCTGCTAGCAAGAAGTGTGGCTGTAAATAATTGTATTCCTAAAGGGAAAAATGAGGAAGTTGAGGACGGAGGTTACCCCTGGGCACAGGTCAGTGAGGAAGGTGTGTGCTCACCCAGTTCCCCTCCTGGGCTGGATCAGGCCAGGGGAAGGTGACAAGGATCCCGCTCACGTCAGAGGAAAACCACGATCACTAAATAACAAAATGAAATTAAGATGTACAAACCTGCTGTCAGGCTGTGGCTTTGGAAGGGTCCTACTCTTCTTGTGGTTCATCAGCTGCTTGAGCTTCCCTGGAAGGGTTTGAGCCCTGGAGGCTGCTTAAATTCACATGTCACCACCTTCCCCTCCAGCACTGATAGCGGCCAGCTGCGCTCTCAGGAGTTTTTTGGTAAGGGATATTTTTCAACATTGCTAAAAGTGCATTTGTAATAACAGCAACGCTCTGCAAAACCATCACAAAGCAGAGCAGGCTGCTCTCCTCAGCACTCAGATGGGATGCAGAGAGGGGAGAGGGACAAAGCAGTGTTTGAGTTGTGATTTTCACAGAGTTCAAATGCCTGAATGGTGGAAAGCATGTACCTAAATGGTGTGTAAAATTGTTATGGGAATTAGGGAGAGCCACACCATGACAAGCAGGGCTCTCTAACATGGAAACATTGGAAACCTTTTAAATCAGACAAATAAATTCTCCCTATCAGGAGTCCAGAAGAAGAACACAGGGCCTAGAATAAGACCCAGGCCCTGCATTTCACAGACCCACCAGCTCAGCCCTGCTGCTGCACTTTTGCTCTGATTTGCTTTCAAACACTTTGTTTTTGGTTTTGTTCTTTCCAAGATAACCCAGCTGAAAATTGAGAACAACCCCTTTGCCAAGGGCTTCCGGGGCAGCGACGACAGCGACCTGCGCGTGGCTCGGCTCCAGAGGTACCTCCCTCCTTCCTCTTCCTCCTTCCTCTTCCTCCTCTTCCTCCTCACACCTGCAGCTCCTGGGGAGGCAGCAGGCCGTGCCAGAGTGTGTGCTGGTGCCTCAGTGGCACTGATGTCCCTCAGAAGCCCCTCCTGACACACTCTGTGCTCTCAGCCCTGCCCACACCCAGCGCACGCGATGAGTTCATCGTCTGAAGCAAAGGGGGTGAAGTCACTGCCTGGAGATGCTCTGGGGGAGCCAAACCAAGATTTCCTCACTCTGCTGATGAAATTCTGATGATGCTGATCTCTGCCTAACCAGCCTTCATTTTTCTCACCTCTTCCAGCAAAGAATATCCAGTAATTTCCAAAAGCATCATGAGGCAGAGGTTGGTGTCCAGCCACGGCCAGCTGTCAGCAAAGCCAGATGTGAACCCACTCCATGGGAATCACCAGAGCCTGCAGCATTATCAGTATGAGAATGGTGCTCACATGCAGTTTGCAGCTTCAGATACTCAAGATCTGCCACTCAACACCTTCACAGCACAGAGAGATTCAGGGCTCTTCTACCATTGTCTAAAAAGAAGAGGTAACTAAAAAACTCGAGTTCACAGCTAAAAAAATATCACAGAAAATAAACCTAAGACCGTGAGTTTGGTTTGGATTGGTCTCTTGGGCCTTGATCTTCAACAATACTGCTGTGATTGGAGTGTTTTGGAGGTCAGGGGGCAAGAGCTGCTGTTTGGAGCAATTTTTAGTGGGTTTGTCCCATAGAAGGTAAATTCAGACTCTGAGACAGAGCTGAAACAATTAATTAGAATGTGTAATTCAAATGGCACAGAGCTTCAGTGGAAATTATCCATTGTTAGGATCAGCTGAATGCAGAATTGTTTGCAGGAGGCCATTAGCATTACCAAAATTCTACACTTTCCAAGGCAAAGCCATGAGCAATCCCCTCAGTGTCTGCAGAGCAGTGGGACTGTGGGAGCTTGGTATGAGCAGCCCTTTCCTCTCATCCACTAATTCTCAAATTTAACTGAGCTGTGACTGCATTCTCTTCCTTTTAGTCCAGCATCAGATGAGATCATGGCATGTTTTAAGTTAAATGGAAAAATTTTGCACAGAAGAAAAAAATCCTTCTATTTGCATGTCTCACTGCTTGCTAATTTATTTAAGCTGGGAGAATCCTCTGATCATGGCTAAATGAAGAATCTAACAGCACCAGTAATGAGGGCTGCAAGGCAAATGTGTAATTTTAGCAGATGTTTAATGTGCAGATGAATTCACTAATTCATCCAGAGAATATTCCTAATAAATAACAGAAAGCTGCTGGGGAGCAGGGCCGTGGTCCTCCCGGGAGGAGAGGGGCTGAGCAGAGCTGTGCAAGGGCTGCTCACTGGGAAAGGGCTCCTTTATCTGGAAATATTTCTGCAGCTTTTGACGTGAATATCTGGGCAATGTAGAGCCATTTCTGCAGTGACAGGAAGGCAGGCTGTGATAAGACCCTTTAAGAGACTTCTTGAGTTTGTCAGGAGGAACCGTGCGGGAGTGTCAGGGCCCTCCTTATCTGGATGAACGTGGAGTAATCCCTGATGTGAGAAGAGTCCCTCACTTAAGCTGACAAATGTCACCGCAGCGCTTTGAGGCCGGGGAGGATTAGCCTGACATTTGCAGCACAATGTCGTTTTGATGTTGTACATTGTTTTCCCAAAGTAAGATGGTTGAACTGGATTAAGCTGAGAGAGGGCACCGCTTTAGTGCAATAACCGCGGCCTCCGAGGGCACTCCCCGGCCACACTGTGCTCAGTGTGAATGAATTTCTCTTGCAGAAAGCGCTCGGCACCTGGACCTGCCCTGCAAACGCTCCTACCTGGACGCCTCGTCCTCGGTGGGGGACGATCACTATTTCCGCTCGCCGCCGCCCTACGAGCAGCAGATGCTGAGCCCGTCCTACTGCGGCGAGGTGGCCCCCAGGGAGGCCTGCATGTACTCTGGCTCCGGCGCCGACATCGCCGCCGTCTCGGCCGTCGACGATTTACCGCCGCCGCCGCCGCCGCTGAGCTGCAACATGTGGACTTCAGTCGCACCTTACAGCGGCTACAGCGTGCAGACCATGGACACTGTGCCCTACCAGCCCTTCCCGCCGCACTTCCCCGCCGCGCCCATGATGCCGCGGCTGCCGCCGGCCATGGCGGGCCAGGCCTCGCAGCCGCCGGGGAACGGCCCCTTCAGCGTCTACAACCAGCTGGGCCCGGCCCCGGGCCGGGAGCGCGGCCCCGCCGCCGCCTTCCCCAGGGAGCGGGGACACCCGGCCGTGTGCGAGCGGAAAGCGCCGTCCCCGCACCTGAACGCGGCCAACGAGTTCCTGTACTCGCAGGGCTTCTCGCTGGCCCGGGAGTCGTCGCTGCAGTACCATTCAGGGATGGGCGCTGTGGAGAACTGGACCGACGGGTGACCCCCGAGGCCGCAGCCGCCCTTGTGCTCCGGGACAGTGCAGGCAGCGTCGATACCTGTGGGTAACTTGCACTTCGCTGAGACACATGTGCATTTCCAGAGGGATCTGTGTGCGTGAAGAGCTCGTATCTTCAGGCGCACACAGAGTTCCGTCTCCTGTCTCAGTGGGCTGGATTCATCAGGCTCTCAGTGACTCCCAAATAAATTCATTCTCGTGTCTTCATGCAGTAGAAACCATCCTCATGACTAACGAGTGACGTAGCTAGTCATGTTCTTTTGCTTGTAATGTCAAACATCCGTGAGCAAATTTTGGCTATTTGGGAAAAATACGAGCTTCGCTTTTACGGTCCTTGGCTCACGAAGCCACAGCTCCCAAAGCTCCGAGGAAATCCCCGCTCGCTCGGTCGCGTAGCTCAAGGACTGCCGCGGCAGCGCCTCTTTAGCCCTTTGGATCCCTGGAGATTCCAAAGGGATCCAAATTCCCGAGGGATTTGTTCCCTGGCAGCGCGGGAGCGGCGGGCCGGGCCCGAGCAGGCCCCGATGCACAAATGTCTCCTTTGCCCCCACAGCGGCATCGGGCGTGGCTGGGGGAAGCGAAGAAGTGAAGAGTTAAGTCCGAGGCCAAACAGCAAATTAATTAATTAATTGCAGCGTTAGGAACAGACCCAGTGTCTTCAGACTCCCATCCCTTGATTGAATCACATTTGCTTATTGCAATATATTTATGAAGTTTAAGCTTAAAAGTCGCTAATACTTTCCAGAACCAATTTCTGTAGTTGCTGGTCCTTGATTTCTTTCGTATTCAGCTGAAACGTGCCTTTTGTGCTATGTTCTTTTCTTTTGCAGCTAACTCAGATTGTCTTCAGCCTGAAGGAGGCCTAGAGGAATATTTTCCCAATGGTGGGGTGAGGAGGGAAGAGCTCCCGTGCCCCGCCAGGCTTTACAGTGTACAGATCTTTGCAGAGCAGGTGAAATCTGTGAGCAGAGCATTCATGGAAGGCCCAGGGCCGCTCCTGGCTGTGCCCTCTGTGTCCCTGCGGTTCCATCGCAGGCGGGGTTTGATCATCTCAGAGGCCCCTTCAGCCCCGGTGGCGCTGGCAGGAGCTGTGACACCAAATTCCCTTTGTCCTCAGCCACAAAGGCCCTGAGCCCCGGGCTGTGCATGGGTGACACTGAGGTGACACTGAACAGCTCCATGTTCCACCTTCAGTCATTGCACAGAGGGGTTTTGTGTCATTGCTTCCCAAAGAGGCAAAGGCAGAGAGCTGAAATGCGGCTTTGGGAGTGGGGAGGTGCTTCTGTGCTTTGGTGAATCCACCCCAGGAGGAGCCCCAGGGATGGGGGCTGTGCCAGCCCCGAGGGCACATTCCAACCAGGACAGTCCCTGCAGCCACTCCGCAGAATTCCTCTGTGGCTGGTGGGGATTTTGTAACCAGATTTTGGAAATCACTACAATTTTTGCATGCTCAATAGCTATTTATATACATATATATTTTATATATATATATATATAAAAAATTATATATATCACAAATGCAGGCCACGTGTCCAATTCAGCTTTGCTTTTAATGAATGAAATACTTAATAAAAATGAATGTTGCAAAGGGTTTTTTTTTTTTTTTGGAAAGACATCTATTTAAATTTTTTTTATTACACACCTTTGATGTAAAAACTAAGAATTGGTTAGACAAAAAAACCATATATACTACAGATAAATCTTTATTAGAAACCACATTAGATACAGGTGGTATGGAATTTTTAAATGTTTGTTACATAGCATGGACATTTTATTTTACATATCAGAACATAAAGTCGTTTTACTACTACAAGCTGTCTCTGGGTGCATTTCAATAATTAGTATAAAAATGTTCCACGGTGAATTAAGACGTCTTGTCTCTCTTCTGTCTCCTGCTGCCTGGCTACACCACCCTCCCCTTCCCACCTGGCCCTTTCTCACCATCCCAAAGCTCCACCATGGGCTTTCAGGTGCCCTTGGGTTTATTTGGGATTTTCCAGGTGTTTCTTTGTTTAGGGCACACCTGAGTGGATCTGAGCCCTGAGTTAAAGCAGCCTCTGGTGCCCTGAGCTGCAGTGCCAGGGACGGGGCTGAAGAATGAAAGGGAGGAGGAGGAGGAGGAGGAGGAGGAGGGGTCTGGGGGTGTCACTGCCTGCAGGGCTCAGTTCATTTCTCGCCGTGACCCTGCATCAAATGGACCCAGAAATGAGTGGGGTCAGCAGCCCAGGCTGCACAGGAAAGTCTGCCTGGATCTTCTGCCTGTTTTACAAAGGTAACCAACACAATTACAATGTCCTTTTTAATGAATAATCACTGCTTCTATTTTAACCATTTCTCATGTACCTTCTGCTCATCCATGCAACATTGGTTGATTTAAGGCAATTAAAAAAGTAATTCCTGTAAGAATCAGCCCAGAACCTTTCAGTCAATGCAGGGACTGTAGAGAAACCATGGAATTGCTGCAGGTTTTACCTGGCAGCCTTTGCAAAGGGCAGGGCCCAGGCTCTGTCCCACCGGAGCCCGGGAGTGCCCTGGGGATCCCTGTGCCAAAAAAGGAGCTGTTCCTTGTAAAAACAGCACAGGGCATTTGTGAGTACAGGACCTGATTGGGAAAGGCTGAGTTAGCAGAAAAATGTGCAAAATTTGGATGTATGCTAATCTGGTCATCTGGGTTCCTTTTATAGTCACTGGAGAGAGATCAGACATTGAGATTAAATGGGATGAATCATTCTGCAGTGACAATCTTTTTCCACTCAGAGGAATCCACTTAGAGCTGATTTCCCATTTCCAAATGGCTAAAAAGTGACATTAGTGGGATCCCCCTCCTGTGTGACTTTGACAAAAACATTGAGATATCATTATTTACATTACAGATTATTTACATTACAAATCCCACTCAAGATGAGCCCCCCCCCAAAAAAAAAAGAAAAAAGGAAAAAAAAAAGAAAAAGAAAAAGAAGCTGGTGGTATTAATTTATGGGATGGAAACAGGTTGTTGTTTCTTAGTTCACTTTATGTTTTCATTGCAAGATTTCTAACCTGGCTGTGTGTCCAGTCCCAGGTGAGGCAGCCAGGTTCCATTTTTCCATTGGATTTCTGCTGCTTTTCCCAGCTGGAGAGGCTTGGCAGGGGCTGGTCCTGATGGAGATCCTGGCTGGGCCGGATCCTTCCTGGGGCTGCAGAGAGCTCAGCAACCCCGAGTGTCCTGCAGGATCTGCTCTGTTTGTTTTTCAAATCAGAAACACTAAACTGGGCACATCACTAACAAAAAATCCCAACAACCTGCACAGCTTTAAAAGAGATCAAGTGTGCTTACCGTGTCCCAGTTTGATTTACTGCACTTTAAACAGCTTTTAATTCTCAAGAATGTGGAGGTTCATGTGTGTGGAGGCTTTTCCAGCCCCAGAGCTGCAGTCGGGAATGGCAATCCAAGCTCAGGGAAACCAGGCCCATTTCAGATCAGATTAAAGCAAAAATTAGCAAGTGAGAAAAACCTGAATACACACGAGGACCGTTTTCCATTTATGTGCTCTAATCTGTGCTAAAAGGCCCAGGGAATTTTTTAATTCTGTTTTTCTTGAAGGTAGATGTCCAAATTTCATCTTGGCCCAGGCAGGCTCAGTGCCAGACTGAGCTTGGACTTCCCTCGAAATAGAACAAATATTTGTATCAGCTTGCTGAGAATGTGAGTAATGGGAATATTTGCCAGAATTTCAACAAGCTCAACTTCAGTCCTGCCAAAAGCCCCACCATTCCACTTGGCATCACTGGCAGCTCACAGGCTCAAGAGGGGCCTAAGTCTGGAAGAGCTGGGGTGTTTTTGGCAAACATGAATTTATTTTTCTCTCTCTCTACATTTTGGAAAATTTGTGCCTCTCTGTATTAATTTATGATGTCATTAAATAATTCTTTTTGCAGCTTGTATAGAAAGAATGTTTCTTTTGAAGATGAGAACTCCCCTGAGGATGGTTATAGTGAAAAATTCCAGCCAGAGGGAACTAAAAAAAAACCCAACTCCTCTCTCCTTGGCCACTCCTGTTTCTGCAGTAGTGCTTAAACAGCAAAAAAATCTACAATATTTTAGTTTAAGGACCTGCTCCAAGGAGGTGCCAAGCACTTGACTGTGACAAGAGGCAGCCCAAATTCAGTGTGACTGGAGGGGTTTTATTCCTGTGATAGCAGGCTGGAAATCATGAGCCTGAGGCTTGCTGGTAGAAAACATCACATTTTGAACTGGTTTGCTCTCTGCAAAGAACAGGATCAAGATTAAAAATTAAAGAAAAGGAAACCTTGGGAGTGGTACAAGCAAAGCACAAAGCCTTGTCCAACATGAATTTTATTCAATGTGCAAACCCTGCCATGAGAGAAATGCCTGGAAAACACTGGGGGTGGTTTTATCACAGGGTTCCCAACACCAGCCTTAAACCAGAATTAAATTAAAATCTGGTATGGGCTGCTCAGCCTCGCTGGGAAATGCCAGGGGAAGGTTTGTGCCACCCTGGTGGGTG